ACACACACACACACACACACACACACACACATGCATAGGTGTAGGTCATCAGTAAATGAGTGGCATTTAAATGGCAGTTTCCCAAATGAAACAAAAGAGCTGTTAGTTTTGAATGATGTGTGTAATGTAGAGAACTGTGCTTAGATTTTTGCGAAAAGTTTGTTTTACAATAGCAAACTGCGTTTAAAGCACGTAATGTGCTTGTAGTTTTGCAGATTTGGGCTAAAGATGAGGTATATGAGTGAATGGCTTCACTGAGTGGGCCTCAAGTACCACTTTTAGTGTCTAAGCATTTTTTTAAAAAACTTTTAGAGGACCTACAAAAACATCGTCTTTACAATCTGAGACAAAACAGGCCTGACAAATCATGATAGTGAAGAATTTATATTTCACTGAATTTCATATTGCCTGTACTTATTGTAAAATAATGAATGTCATAAATAACTAACAAGAATTTGTAAGGCACATTTTAATAAGCTCTTTTTATTATGTCAGAATAGTGCTTCTTTATAGGACAAATGACTATATTTCTGCATCTATCTATCTATCTATCTATCTATCTATCTATCTATCTATCTATCTATCTATCTATCTATCTATCTATCTATAAAGAGGACTTTCATGACATGATTCATTATAACAAAATAATGTGATAAAATTATTCAGTTAATTTAATTCATTTGATGATTAATTAAATATTATTTTTAATTAACTGACTACCCTAATACTGAATTAAAATTTAAGTGATAATTTAACTATTTATTTTAATGATAATTTAATGTCATAATTTTGAAAAAATAAAGGGAAAGTAAAATTAAATGGTACATTTTTGTTACAAAATCATTCTAGTGATTATCTGGAAAATGTAGGCTTTTTTTTAAGCGAAAGGCAGACAAAACACATTTGATTCATGAGAATCAGTGTATGTATGCTTTCTGGATATATCTGTCACTCTACAGTATATGTAACGAAAAATGACAGTGTATCATGTTTACGCATATTTTTTGCTTTTTACTGATATGATGATTTGTTAAATCTGCTCTCAAGCTGAGGCTTGTTGGATGCGAAGTGTTTAAACGCGCTGTCCCCTGGAGACGCTCGCCGGCCTGCGGCAGACCCCACTGAAGTAAAGTAGACTCATTCTGTTCCCCTATAGGGAGATCGGAATGGGTAGTCATGCATTTAAAGCTGCGGAGACAGCTGGGGAACACGGCCCGTTATCTCATTGAGAAAACAGAGCACAACTGAAAAATGCTCCAGAGGAAATGGAAAGCGAGAGACTGTGCTGTAATAGTGACCTTGAAGGTGTGATTTGATAAACTGCAGCGTGGATTACGCTTGCTCAACAACATATGCACACGTACTCTGATACCCAAGCACTCAAAAAACTAAAAAACTAAACAAACAACAAAGTATTTATATGCTTTTACATTATTTTTTTGTGTGTCCAAGTCAAATCAGAGTAGTTAGTTTCCTGTATGCACAATATTGTCCGAATATGGTGAGAGAACTGTGGATGGTCACTTTAAATGTCAATCAGACAGTCAGTTCCTGTTTAAATGGGCGGTTCTTGGTAAGAATTAGCTGCAATATGGACAAGAATTTACGCAATTCAAAAGTCAAAAGAGAATGTTCAGAAACATTCAGAAACAAAGAAATCCAAAAAGATGAAACCTTTTTGAGACTTATTCACCTCTTACCTCAAGTCGAGCATTCATCACAGAAGACAATCCTTTCTGCGCGCACAGGGCTGATGCTTGAATGGTTAATTGTTTTATGTAGGTTGAGTTTTCCTTGATTTGTCTCCATTGTCTGTGGCAGAACGACTGATTGTTCGCCAAGACGGTACTTTAGCGAAAAAGTTTAACTGCAATTAGCACTTTCCCCCGTAGAGGAATCCATTCCTCTGTGGTACGATGAAGACGGATCGCTCCGCCTCTGCTCGTTCCGTGGCAGGCTGTTTTCTTCATCAAGTTTAGGAACGAGGGATGGGGCCTACTTTAAATTTCAAAAGAACAACAAAGGTATTCATTAAAACTCCTGGCTCATTTATCTACATTGTCTTTCTTGTGTTCATTCCTTTCCTTTAC